TATTCTCATGAATCTTATTTTATTCTTGCCAAAAATTGGCCACAATGTCCATAATCAACATCATTATCATAGGAAAATTATTCTTTCAAATGAATCATCATTTTGTGGATAGGATGAATATCTTTGCGACAATCCTTTTACAAAATAAACATTTCTTCTGGTCTTTTGATTCAACTAAAGAAAAACCTTTTTTTTCTTTGTTTTCCAAGACTGTTTATTCCTGTTGAAGAAATCAACAAACGAAACATTTTGTGAATCCAGGGGAAAAAAATTGATGATGATAATCAAGATAACAGTGAGTGAGTGAAAAAAAATATGATGACAATTGATAATTGATTCTGTTTTTCTCTCTTTGGTTACAAACATTTTTTTCTTTCTTCATTCTTCATATTTGTCGATATTTGTTGTTGTTGTTGTTTGTTTTTCTTCTTCTCATTTCATTTCATTTCATTTTTCAGATTCTTCGTTGTTGTTGTTCCATTTGTTTGTTTTGATTTTCATGTTCGTTAATATGCTGACACAAGAAAAACATACACATACAAACACACACACACACACAATGAAAATGAATCGCGTAATCTTTATTTGTGTGTTTTTCTTTATATGTTTGTTACATTTCTTCTCTTTTTTTTCATTCATTCATTCATTTAACTCACTAACAGTATCCAAAGAAAACATCTATTATTATGTAATTTCATATGTCGTAAACATTCGCGTGTGTGTGTGCGTTGTATATGTATCCGGGGTATAACAAACGAAAAATGATTTGTCGTGTCGATTATTTATTTTTTCATTTCGTTTTTTTCGTTTTTTGTTCATCAAATATAATAACAGTTTGTAAGTTATAATCGAAATTATCAAATTTCATCATCATCATCATTGTTCCAATTGGAAAATTTTTTTCGGTTTTCGTTTTTCATCGGTTTTTTTTTTGGTTGATGAAAAAAACAAAATGACACAACGGAAATGTTTTGCTATTCCATAACCAATTAGGTCAAAATGGTCGAAATGGTTGTTTTTTACTCAGTTTTTTTGTTTTGTTCTTGGAATATAAGTAGAACAATGAAAGATTCTTTGATTATTCGTTTGATTCTCTCCACCCATCCACGTACACAATGACATAGAATTATTATACTGATCATCAATTCTGTCAATGTCAATTCTGTCGATTCTGTGATTTTACCGACATCTTAATTATTTTTTTTTCTTCTTTATTCTTTCATTTTAGATCTTCCTCATCATCATCATCACCATCATACTAACTTGCTATGTAATGAAAATGTTCATATCTTATATTATAGATTATTATTATTATATAATGAATTGATGTATTACACCAACTCCATATCATTCAGGAATAATAAGGAACCAAAAAAAAACGTAACGAATCCTTTTTTATATATATAAAAATAATGTGTGTGTGTGCTGGGATCCAGGATAATAATATATGATGATGATGATGATGTTCTTGATGAAGATCATTGCTTTTCTTTTCACTTTTTTTCAAGAAGTAGAAGAAGAAGAAGATTCAGGCGTCATATAACATTATCATCATCATCATCATCATCATCATCATCTTAGTCTTAAAATAATAATAATCCAATTATTTTAGGATATTTGATATGTGTGGTGTTGATTGTGTGATGATGATGATGATGATGATGAAAGACAACAGGGCCCATCTCTCAAGTGAGAAAATTTTTATTTATTTTTATTTTTTGTTGTTGTTGTTGTTCGGTTTTCATTTTCTTAACTTATCAACTAAGAAAATGAAAATGATGATGAAAAATAAGGCAATGAACAAGTAAAGCAAGAAAAATCAAATTAGCTTCCGTTGTTATAGTTGTTGTTGTTGTTGTTGATCATCATTTTTATTCTTTATTGAATCCATTGATGATGTACATAGTTTTTGTTGTTAGTATTATCATTCATCATTTATTGATATCGATATTGACATTTGAACATTTTGAAAATGTTCGGCTGTTTAATTTTTTTTTTTCAATGTGAATGAGAAATACCAATATTCAAAAACGATTACAATGTTGACCGTAAGAGGGCGATATTAACATTTTTGAAAAAAAAAATTTCAAAAGCGCAATTTTCAAAAGCAGAATTGATTTTGTTGGAAAATGGGGAAAAAAATCATTTTAAATCTGCTGAACATGTAATAATATGAAGGAACGAAAATGGACAAAAAAAATAAGAAAATTCCAAATCTGATAAAAATCCTAAACGAAAAGATGATAATCGTTGACAAACACAACACACGCACAACATCCATGTCTTAATTTTGTTTTTTATTTTTCATGTTTGCATAATACAAAATTTTTCAACTGGAAGAAAAAACAACGGAAGACAACGGTTTGTTTGTTTGGAAAAAACAATACAGATTTTGTTGTTTTTTGTTTTACCAGATTTTCCAGATCTTCATAATCATCATATTTTTTTCTATAGTTTGTTATCTTTTTTTTCGAAACAAATTCAAACAAACAAACAAACAAACATTCTGGATAAATTGATAAAAAAAATTGAAATTCTTTTTTTCTGCTGATTCAAACTATCGAATGAAAATAGCCATTCTATTCTGTTTATTGAATATTCTTATGTCTTAGGTAAACATTTCGAATATCTTCTTTTTTTCTGTTCATCCAATTCGATTTCAAATTGTATTTTGCTGAAGAAGAATTTTCGTCTATATAGTTGATGTTTGATTCTGTAAAATCTTCCAATTCTTAATACAATTCAATTTGTTTTACTGGTTGGTTGGTTGATTGGTTAGCTTTGATTTTTTTCTGTCGTTTGACACACACACAAAATTTGTAGCTTTCTTAACCTAAAAAAAATCGAAAACAATGAAATCAAAGCTAAAGGGAATCATTATTTACGGTCGGTTTAAAACAACAACAACAACAATGATGATGATTCCATTTTTCAGAAAAACATTGACACTGACTGAAATGATGATGATGATGATTTCGTTTTCGGGAGGAATGTTGAGAAAATTCAATCCAGAATTGTGGTTGATTTGATTTTCTTTTTTTTTCGTGGAACGTCATAATACTGTTTGGCTGATATCAATTCACATAAACCGATCGACAGAATTGTGGGATGAAAAACGGATTTTTCTTTTGCACCAACATCACCACCACCACCACCGCCGCAATCATCATCATCAACAAACCGACAATCAATTCTTTGGCTTTGCGTAAAATGATGAAAAGAAAAAAGCACATCATCATCATCGTACAGAACAAAAAAAACTGAATCTAATCATGCGAAATTTTTCATCTTTTTACTTGAATGTTTTCGTTTGTTGAATTTTTTTTTATAGCTGGCAAACACTGGCTGCCACCGAAATTCAATTTGATTTTATTTCATTTCATTTCATTTTTTTTTTCGTTTCAAGAAAATTGGAAATGTTTGCGAGGATAATATTATGTCCCATGAGAAAAGAGTGGAAATTCTGTTCGATTCCTTTTTTTTGAAACATTCGATTCTGTTTAGAATTTCGAAGCTACGACAGTCAATGTAGCGGCCGCCGTAGTCGTCAAAAAATCATTCGAGCTATAAGTAACACAGAACGCCCAATCGGAACAAGTAAAAAAAAAAATCTTTTTTTCTTGTTCGTTATCCAAAATAATGACATTTTTTTTTCTTTCGATTTGATTCCGGTTATTATTGTCATTTCATCAACGGTTATTATTAGTGGAAACTAATGCGAAGATTTCTTATTTAAAAAAAATTGTGTCCGATAAATATATTTGATTGAGAACTTTACTTGTCATTTACACACACACACACACACCCAGTATATAATATCTGATATTTATTCATATCGGTTTTATTGTTGTTGTTGTTGTTGTTGATGTCAGACTACAATTCTGTCAATGTTTTTTCTTTTGTTTTGTTTTTTGTTTGTCGATTCGTTAGTGAGGATTGATTTACAAAAAAAAAAATCAATTCCGATCTTGCCGATGCTGTCATCTAGTGACCATAACTTTTATTGAATTTTTAAATATTTTTTTTTTTGTTAAAAATTCCAATTTTTTTTAATTAATTTAATTACTCAAAACATTCTTTATATTTAAAGAATTTGTTAATTTGAAGTAGCGAAAAAAAAGTTCATTATTATCATTATCAATAAATCATAATGTGTGTTAGTTTCTGTATGGGACGACGATGTTTATTAGCATTAATGCAAATTTCATTAATCTATATTTCAATACTTTATCTATTAAATCCTGATCATAAATGGTTACAAATGTTATTATTTAAAAATGGTACTATTATTGATTTGATTAATAATAATGATGATAATCCACCGATAAAACATATTGATTTAAAATATATTGAAAAATTATTTCAATCAATCAATCAAATTGTATCATCAAATAAAACATTAAATCAATCATCAACATCATTATTACCATTATCAATAAATTCTAGTTTATCGATAGAATTATCATCACCAACAATATCCAATGATAATGATAATCAATCATGGTATCGTACATGTTGTTATATAATGATAATTATAAATTTATTCGGTTTGATTACAATTTTATGTAAATTATGGATTGGTCTTCTAATTTATTTGATACCGATTATAATATATTTTTGTATAATAATTATACAATTTATAACAACAAAAAATATGATGTATATAATCGATATAATTATATTCTTTATGATCATATGGGAATGTTTAATGATTTTATTGATGGAATGTGCCGATAGTATTTGTGATCTTTTTATATCATCATTTCGTTCATTTTGTCATTGTTGTTGTTCTTGTTGTTGTTGTAGTTGTTGTCAATGTTGTAACAATGATGATAATAATAATGAACAACCAATTATGATGATGTCACAGTTAAATATTGAACCACAACAACAAAAACAACAAATATTTATATGATATTTGATAAGTGAAATTTAGAATTTTTGAAAAATATCAAGATTAATTAAAAATTTTTTTTATTGTGAATCAGAAGTAATTATTAATTCATTCAATTTTGGTTTTGTTTACAAAATGATAATGAATATGCGAAATGATCATTGAAACCATCAAATAAAATTTTACGGATTCATCATCTTTTTTCTATGTCATACTTTCAATCAATGACATTCGCATCGATGTTTGTATCTTGTTCGGTCCATGAAGATCAGTCAATTTGAATATATTTTCAATGACTGATATTTCTGTGGATGTTGTATCAAAACCACAGAAACATGACCAATCATTTACAACTAAACCGGCACCAATTAATTCGGAACCACGATTAACTGTACCGGCAATCAATGGGATCTGTAATAATGATGATAATTCATCCTGTTGTTCAACATTAATACGTGGATGTAATAAACCACCACGATTTGAAATTGAACAATATGTACCAACTAATGCTTGTTGTGCAATTGATTGTCGAAAAACTTCAACTTTTAATGTATCGGCAAGTATTTCTTCTGTTTCACGATCTAAATCCGGATGTACAAGTGCACAATAATCATTACAGGCAATAACATTACCTAATGCACTAAGACGTTCTTCAACACGTTGTACGGATACTGAATCTGGTAATGAATTTCTTAAATGTTGTAATTCTTGATCGGTAGTAGTATTCGGTACTAATAATCCATGACGATTTGCTACAGTTAAACGGCCAATAATACGACAACCAGCTATCGATGCATGTACCACTGGTATTACATTGGCCAATTCATTTTCAAATACCGAATAAAAATTCTCTGAACCACCAATCGCTGTTAGACAATAAGTATTTGTCAATTTCGAGAATACACCAATCTCATTGTTTCCTTCGAATTGTACACGATATGCCATTGTGTTTACTTTTAGGAATAGAAATTCAAATCAAATCAATTTGTTCTCGCTGTTGTTGTTACCGAAAAGAATAGGATGATAAAAAACAACTGAAATTTCTTATTATGAAAACTAGATAATGATGCTTTTATATATACCGATGTTGTGGCGCTTTACCGATGCAATGATCTGCCAGAAAAGCAAAAAACGTTTTGCAATCGTTTTTTAAAAGCTCAATTAAATAAAAACGATACAAAAACATAAAACGCTCACCACTAACACGTGATGATTATCAATTGGAAAAGAAGGAAAAAAATTGGTCGGCTATTTTGACAGTAAATGTTTTGAATATTCCGAAAAAGCTATTTTGCAGAATATGTTTCAAATTCCAAATATTCCAATAATTTATTATTATTCAAGAAAAATTCAAATAATTTTCATTTTCAATAATTATCATTATTCATTTCCATTCAATTCCATCTTAGGTTGGGGTCCAATGACGACTTGTGTCGATACTTGTTGTAATCGTTGCTCTTCTCTAAATTCTTGTTCGGCCACATAATAATTTTGCTGAAATCGATGTTCATAGCAGGTGAATCCAGTCAATGACACTATCAATACTATCATGATAAGACCAATAATAGTCATAATTCGATAATTAACTCTGACCCAAAATATCGGTCTTTGTAATTTCGAACGAATTCGATGTCCAATGCCATCACGATTACCATAATAATAAAATATTCCGAACCAATTAGATTGTTTAGGTAAAAATAATTTGGAATCTCGATTATCATTCGAAAATCGTTTCAGTTGTTTATTATTGATTGTTTCATTATCCATCAATATGAATGGTTCGATATCATACCAATTTGATAAATAAAGACATGGTTGAAAATCAAATATGGATTCATTATAAATCCACGGAACTATACAACGCATATGACATTTAATAATGACTAATGCTATCAAATTTTCTGATTGTATAGTGAATGCTGCTGTCATTGGTGGTATTGGACCACGATGAAATGTTTCATTAGAATCATTGACAAGTTCAACATCATTTTCTTTATTATCAAAATGTTCCAGTTTAACGATGGTCCAGAATAGCTAAAACATAATGAATTAATATAATATATCAATGGTGGAAAAAAATTTGATACAAATACCCGACGATTAATGATTGTGAAAAGATATTGTTCATCATCAAACAACAGACGAAAGGCAGAATCCATTCGAATAAATATATTTGTTTCATTCATTGTTTGATTAGATTGTTGTTCAATACGTGGGGGAAGTAGATGAGAATCTTGAATCGTTCCGTTATTTGTTTTTATATGATACCAATCAGCGGTCAAATAAGATTTTGTGGAACGTTTTGAAACAACAATGAATGTATATTCATCCATACCAATATTATAATCATAATCATATTGATGTTTAATCAATGTGAATACCGTAATACGTTGATCCACAGTGTCTAGAAAATTTATTTTTTCAGATAAATTAAAATATGTTTCTCGAATTAATCGTTTTTCAATCGCAAACATTATCAATCGTTGTGTTTCATTTGTAGAATCTTGAATCGATAAAATTGAACCAGTATAATTATCATAATGATGATAAAGTTGAAAATCGATATAATATTTTTCACCATACAAACGTATTGTACCATTCTGAAGATTATCGGCTGCATATACCATAAACGAATTCCGATTACTTGAATATTCCAATTGACATATCGAACAATTATAGATGGGAAATAATATCCACATCCAAATCAATAATTTAATTATCATCTTGAAATTAATATGACACGCACATTCGAACATGCACATTTGTCAACAGATTCGACAAAAGATTTTAGATGTTCGAATGTTAAACCGGAAAAAAATTGTTTGTTCGAAAAATCGAATCATTGTAAAAAAAAAGAACTAAAAATCCATTAGAACAATCGATAGATGGCGTCCTGTACGATACGATGTATCGAAATCCATCAAAACAAAAAATAAAATTTTGCTCATATTTTTTGTTTATTTGTTAAAAATCATTGTAATGGATTGATTATTGAATTTTTAAATCATTCAACAACAACAATATCTATTCAATATTTTAGGATCTGTTTCCCAATTTTTTTTTCAATTAAATTTTCTTCTCATCATCATCATCATTGCCTTTATCTATGTATACTGGTGCATTATTGCCGTTATCGTTGTTTTTATCATCGAAAAATGTCCTTGAAAATAAGAAGGATTAATCGAATCTGATTCGAATTTTTCATTTGTTTTGGAGAGCAAACAAAAAAAAAGTTTATATCACCGCCATTCATTCGTCGCCTACACACGTGATAAACAAAGCTTCTTTATTCTTTGTTTGAATCTAGGTTTATTTTGCCACGTTGAACTCTGCTAAAATACTCATTCGATAATTAAGAAAATTGGAGAATATTCTCCACAATAATTGTTAGATTCTTTGTATTTTTTCTAATTTTTTCAGAAACGATGGGTATATTATTTTCAAAAATTTGGAGCTATTTTACACATGAAGGTTTGTAATGATTTTTAAAGGTTTCAAGAAGATAATTGAAGTTTTCTTTTTAATTATAGAACATAAATTGGTAATCATCGGATTGGATAATGCGGGAAAAACAACAATTTTATATCAATTGTATGTGACACTTGACTTAATTTTTAAAAAATTTAATCAACTATTTTGATAATAGCCTAATGGAAGAAGTTGTACATACATCACCAACATTGGGCTCAAATGTTGAAGAAGTTGTCTGGAAAAATATTCATTTTATAATGTGGGATCTAGGTGGCCAGGATTCATTACGACAAGGATGGCAAGCTTATTATACAAATACGGAGGTAAAAGAAAAAATTAATTCAAAATTGAAAAAATTAATTTTTGGATTTTTTTTTCTTGAATTGATAAAATTATAGTTTATAATTCTAGTGATCGATAGTAGTGATCATGAACGAATATCAATCAGTAAAGAAGAACTGTGGCGTATGCTTGGCCATGAAGATCTACGTAAAACATCGATATTAGTTTATGCAAATAAACAAGATATAAAAGGATGTATGTCGGTTGCACAGATATCAAAAGAATTGAATCTAACATCAATTAAAAAACATAAATGGCAAATACAACCTTGTTGTGCTATTTCAGGTGAAGGGTATGTATTTTTTTTGTGTAAATTTTAAAATTTTCATTTTCAAATAACAATATAACCTTATTATAAATAGATTATATCAAGGTCTTGAATGGATTGTTGAACAATTGAAAAATAAAACGTAAAACTTTTAAAAAGATTTCTGAAAACAAAATAACAGATGCCAATATAACGCGCATATCTATCTTCAATTCATTCCTCATCTATTAATCGAAGAATAATTATTTGTTGCTGTTAAAATAATCCTGATGATCCAATTGAAAATCATTGTTGTTGAATGTTTTATTTTTTTATATACATTGATAATTATTTTTGTAAAATTATTTTATTTTATTTTATTTTTAAAAAAAATTCAATTCATCATCCACATCAACCAAACATTTTCAAAACAAACAAAATGTTCTGTGATATAACATTTTTTTTCATTCAATTCATTTCAATCAGCCACATTTGAACCAAAAAAAAACTCAAAAATGATACCAAAAACAAAACAAAACAAAACGGACATTGGAAAAAAATATCTGAATCTTGAATTTGTATACAAATCATCATCATCAACATCCATATTAGACCATTTATAATATTATTAATTTTTGTGTTTTTGTTTTACTTTCACTTTTACTTGTAATTTTCATTATCATTTTATTGTGACGAAATTAAAAAAAAGAAAAAAAATTTATCAATTCATTGATTGATCAATTCATCATTGATGATTTCACCTGATGAAAAGAAAAAAAAATCTTGTTTTTTTTCGCCATTGTTTGCCAGCCATCAAAAAAGATTTAATTTTTTTTTCTCTTTTTGCGAATCCTTTTTTTTTATTTCTGTGTGATTCATTTAACACAGAAAAAAAAACAGATTTTACTTTCATTCATGACATGACACAAAATGATTTTTTTTTCTTTTCACACACACAGACATTGGAAGAAAGACAATTTCAATCAAAAAATGAAATGAAAAATTTTTTCTCATTTTTCCAGTCGAAGACAACAACAACAACAACAAATCCGGATTTATGAATATCACTGAATATAGCCTGTTTCAAACATATATTATATAGACGCAGACAGCATTTGTGTTTCAGATTTTTTTTTTTTTGAATGCAACAGATAAATTGTTGATGTGGATGTTTTTTTTTAAAAAAAAAGTTTTGAATTTTTTTATTTTCAAAATTTTTGTTTTCTCTTAAAAAAAAAAAAAAAATGCGAATATCACTGAAATAGAAGAAGCATAAATGAAAGTAAATTGGAATAGAT